CCAGTTCCTGTCCTCAAAGCAATATCTCAGCCCCCGTATGACTGCACTCCCCAACCAACCAATATTCCAACCTCTCTTCTACCTCGCGTCTCCGCCGCCCAAACCAGCACCACATCTCCCCTCTTTTATACCCATCACTTACCAGATCAACGGTGCTCAGCGTTTACGGTGAAGTTACCCATGACCTGCTCTGGTGGTTACCCATTAAAACCACAAACGAATGCAAACGAATGCTCGTTACGCGGTCAGTTGAGTTTCAGTAGTTGAGTATCCCAGCCCATCCTCTGCCACGTTTTTCTGCGGCCCAGATTAGCATTATATCGTCACTCCTTTCCGTCGATTACCTCCTTCTCCCCAACAAACTAGGGTACCCTGCTCTTAACGGAACGTGCCCAGCGCTCGGAGAAACGAAACTAATGACAGATATGGCGATGTATTAGTGCAGAAATAAGTGCGTTTTGCACCGGCTCCACAACATATCGGGGCCGAGTTTTAGTAGTTGCAAATAACTACACACATATAGACAGTAGGTCCCACCAGCAGCATTTTTGCATTTTTACAAATATGACTTCAAGTCAAACTTCATATTGACGCCTATAGAACGAACTAGTAGTCATGGAATAGAATTTTTGGTGTTTTGCATCCACCACATTGCTGATGCTTCCTTTCCACGCAATTCCACATCTATCGGCGTTGCATTTACAACAGAATTAGCCCAAATAAAATTGCCACGCGCCAATAAAAAACTGGTTCATTATTTCTAGCCCTATATATGACTAGGAACTGTACTTTTAAAACTTTGGCGTGATGGCGTTTGTGGTACCGGATTTGAACTAGTCGTACACAGTGATATTGATACGTACAGATGCACTTACAAATACGAGCTTGCCATAAAGTGTTTTTCTAATCCGTGTAAAAACTCACAATAATAATTTCATGAAATGTGAATGTTGCTCAAGTTATTACATTTTAGTTCGCATCGCAGCGCAACAGCCACTGCAACGTGTTCTTCTATATTGCAGAAGCAATGTGTTATTGGAACATGTACCGGGCGCGACTGGGGTTGGATTTTCAATGCAAAATTTTAAATTTTTGTTTGATATATATTTTTTGCAGCTTGGTGTTATAAATACTCGAGGAAGTATGAAAAAAGGCTTTAAAACCAGTACAAAACTGGGGTAATGCGAAGGGCCGGTGTGCCTCCCAGGTTGCAGTTAAACAGCACTAGAAGAATAACAGTTGCGAGTTGTAAATAGTTATGTTAGCCAGGAAATGAATACGTACAACAATCTCCAGCCAGGAACCTTGCATAAAATTGCTGACGATTAGTGCAAATTCAACAGCAGTACCCTTCAGAGCCTTGAATTAGAAACATCAACCGTATTTTTTTAATGCCACTGTGTTGAAACGGTGAATACATATGCAAAATAAGATCACTGCCAAACTCACAAGTGCAAGGGCTGGTCATTGTGAAAAGAATCACTGGCGATGCTTATCAGGCGGGCCTGTGCGATCATGCGTTTTTGCAGTATTTCGTTCTGTAGTAAGATTGCTGGGAATCCCAGTAGCTAGAATTTGTGACACACTACTCGGACAGAGGACATTCCGTCAAAATTTCAGCTTTCCAGCCCTTTTGGTTTTCAAGTTAGCGATTTTCCCGCCAAAAACTTTCAAGGGACCATATGTGAGAGCCACGCATGACTGGGGGCTGGATTTGAAACCTTTAAGTTGTACATGGGTTGGGAACATTCCTTTAAAATTTCAGCCTTCCAGCTTTTCTGGTTCCTGAATTGGCGTTTTCCTTCCAAAACTTTCACTTGCTCGTACGCGAGACTCAGACGTGCATAAAGGTTTGTGCCCCAGTCCTGGCGTGGCACTTGGCTGGAAAACCCAGTGGCAAAATTTTAGCGCCGAAGTTTGCTTGGTTGCTGAGTTGAAACACCCGACAGACGCAGACATGCACATATATACACACAAGCGCGCACCGGGGTCGTCACAATATGTGTTTCTGCACTTGCGTATATGCAAAAGCGCGAAAAAGTTACACAGAGAATGCTTGTAGTGTCTACTTATGACTGCACAAACTATCAGATTCTGCGTTAGACGGGCGACGCAAAGGAAGTCGTTACGATCTTGTGAAGTTAACCTTGATGGTGGGAGATGTTACTTGTTATTTTGATAACGGCTGTGCACTGTAGATAACGTTTCTAAATGCAAATGTACAATCCAAGACAGAAAAACCCAGCACGGCTGCGCCTGGCTTGTGGGCATATCTGTTCTAGTAACACATCTGAAATGAAACTGTGAGGCAACTCATGGTAATCTTGCTTTTTATGCGTTTTTGCATATATGCAAATTGCAAAAGCGCATACTGGGAAGAGGCTGTGTGTATGTGTGTCTGTGTGTTCGCACTTTTTGTCACCCGCTTTCAACTCGAGAACCAGGGAAGCTAGAAGATTGAAACTTTGTGAGTATGTGTCCATACCATGTGCGACCCTCCCTTTTTAATTTCGTCCCGCGCGGATGCCTGGGTGCCGCTTACGGACGCTTTAATATGCAAATCTTTTGGCGGGAAAGCGATCTCGGGAACTACTCAAGCTAAGGGGCTGAAGCCATGTAGGGATATTCCCTGTACATGCGCTAGCTAAAGGTTTCAAATTCAGCACCCGGTATGCGTGGTACTCATGTAAGGGCGTATGAAAGTTTTAGCGGGAAAATTGCTAACTCGAATATCAGGAAAGCTAGAAAGCTGAAATTTTCGGAGAGTCAGGAAGGTTGGAAGGCTGAAATTTTAGGGTGATGTTCCTTGTCCACGTGCAATTTAAAAATTTTAAATTCAGCTTTCCAGACGTGTGGGATACCCACGTACGGGCAATTAAAAGTTTTAGCGGGAAAATTGCTAACTCGATAACCAGAAAAGCTGGAAGGCTGATATTTATGGTAGTGTCTCCTGTCCAAGTACAACTCAATTATTTCAAATTCAACCCCAAGCTATGTGTGGTACTCACATTAGGGGCGTATGAAAGTTTCTGCGGGAAAATTACTAACTCTGGAGCCAGAAAAGCCAGAAGGCTGAAATTTTGGGGTAATGTTCCCTGTTCAAGTACAACTTAAGTATTTCAAATTCAGCCTTGAGGTATGCGTGCTTGTTATGTACGGGCACTTAAAGTTATGGCGAAAAAATTTCTCACTGAACAGCTAGGTTATGCGTTTTTGCCTATATGCAAATTGCAAAAACGCA